TAATTATATCAGCCCAAAGAGCAGTCATGTTACTAACACTGACTCTGACAAGTACAAATACTAAGGAATACCGGAGTATCTGGCTTCCCTGTTGAAGGAGGAAAATATAGTGAAAACTCTTGCTTGTTAGCAGATAATGCCTCATTAAGTCTCACATGATAAAATATTTCTTATACTAAGCTTACCAATGTCAGTCATTGCATCAGTATTGTGTGTTTCAGGCTAGAATGCAGGCCCGTAGATCAATCCCATCATTTCTGTTCAAAAACATAGGCACCCGCAGGTTCAAGATAACAAAAGGAAACATAGACCTGCAGTCCATTACCGTTGTCCTGTCTTCATCTTTGGTGACTCGAGTTTTGGCCTGAATATAATTCATTTCACACAATACTGTGTCTGCTTACAGAACTCCACTGAATGTTTCCTTGATAATTACCACCAGAAGCTGCTCCCAAAAACAGGCCTTACCTCGCTCAGGTTAAAGTTATTTGGATACACAAAATTTGGCAATATAAATTTGCCCAAGAATTACGTCAATCAGCTCATTGAATTGACAATAAGCCTTTTACATGCTTTCTTCATGTTGGACAACTAAGAATTGTTTGTTTCTCTATTTGTTGATGTGTTATCTTTTTACCTTTCCGGGTGCTTTAAGCATGAACTTTGAGTCTGCACTCACCCAATATTTATTTATTAATTTCAGATTTTAAGCATTCAGGCAATAGAAGATAAATCTAGGAAATATTTATTAAGTGACAAAGATAATGCTTAAAGATAGGTACCATCTTTATGGCTCACTGTGATTCTTACTTTTCGATTCAGCTGGGGACACAAGGCAACATGTGGTCTTCTCTCTTGCTTTGTTGCTTTTGTGGCCCAACTGGAAAGAAGTCTCTTGCCTTCTGTTTCAGAACTGGTCTGTGCTTTGACTAATGAAAGCTGGTACTTACTAACCCTTTGAAAGGTATATCCTACCCTCACAATCAGTGGTGTTCTTGAATGCCAATTGTCTCAAGCAGCACATGATCAATCTCTGATTGATTTAGGTGGTATGCAGTTAGTTTCCTAAGGATAAATGGTTTCCTAAGGATGATTGTCACCTGATAATGTCACTTCTTGTCATCCTCCCTTTTATAACAGCGAGTTCCGTTATATCATTAAATTGTATGGTTTTCTGCAAAGTCATGGGGAGCTTAAAACAGTTTCATTTCCAAATATTTGAGAAATGAGAATATATAACGTTGGGTACTGCTGAGTAATGTGGGGGCTCCTCATTTCATAGGCCTTAATTTATTTATAAATATGAATATTCTATGACTTGTGGAATTCCCATTAAGCTGGAGTATTATCAGGATGTTTTAATTCAGATAATTGCTTGTTGATGTGGAGCTTTATAGTGTTGGTGTTTGGGATGAGTTAGTTGCTAATAGCTAAAACAGAACAAGGTTCCATACAGCCTTAATTAATCAAGAAATCACAAAGTTACTTCTTACATAAAATCTATACCAAGTGTGTGTAAAGTCAGAGCATAAAGATAATCCTTGTGTGAAAGCTGATGTAATAGGATACACTCATAAAATGCAGCATGATACATTCAATGGATACATTTTCATAAGCAATAAAAGTTCAAAAACACACTGCTACAAAGATTGATTCCACCATTTGCTTTGGAAGTTTACAGAACCAAAGGAAGTCGTGGGCACGTCATATAGTTTGAACAGAAGTGATTCCTTTTCTTTATAAGGCACTTGTTACAATATTAAACAAATAGATTTGAAAGCTTCAAGCTTCACAACTCTTCTCCTCCCATAATAGTCCTTTAAGTCTTAGAAACCAAATCATCAAGATCATCAAAACGGCACAATGAACTCGCCTTAGTATCTGTACATTCAGACAATGAAGGCCATCAGCTTAACTGGGACAAAGTAACCATAGTCGCCCAAGCCAAACATAGACATGCACAGGAATTTCTAGAGGCATGGTTCTCCACCCATCCTTCAGTCAACAAACATATAGAATTGGACCCCATATATAAATATACAGATCAAAACAGGAAATGACAGTACTCACCATAACGGACTGGACAGTATAAATTCCAAGTGAAGTACAATAACATCGTTTCGTTGGAGGCTCCACTGATGATGTCACCTCGCATGGTGACGAAACGTCTTAACAAAAAACAAGGCAGCTCAGCGAGCAAGTCAACAACCTTATCCACAACCCGAGCTACAGATCTTTGCCAAAACTTGATATGTGTCATATCAGTACCCCATCTGAATCCATTCAACTTCGACAGGCTTTGTCATAACCCTACTTTCTCATTAGTGAGAGATGACTGGTCGCGGTTTAACCTGAGGATCATCATGTCTAAGGCAAGGGGAAAGGTTGAGAAGGAGAGTAAAGTGATTGGAACCAGGTTGGCCTCATTGACTATGAGGTCATTGATTGGGTCTGTTAACCTGGGACAATCAGGAAGCTCTAGCTGACCAATATAACTCAGAGATTAGAATCTCCTCAGCTCAGGTGACTGACTCTGAGCTGACTGGTAGCAGCCAGTATGTTGTGCACAAGTAAATGAAGGGTAAAGTAAATGAAGGATGATGCGGTGACAGAATACTGGCCTCTGTGTAATTACTTCCAAGAGAAACCTCAGAGTAGGAATTGAACTCACGCAATTGGCATCATTCTGCACTGCAAGCTGGCTTTCCAGCCAACATGATATAGATCAGTGACAGCTATTTCCGTGAAGCAAAAGTACCTTGTACTTTGCTTTTGAGTGTCGCTGATGAAAGAACTGTATTGATGACTCTAAAATGGTAGATCTAACTACTTCCATCCATGTTTGTAGCTTGGATTCAAGGGAATTTTGACATCAAACAAGGCATGGTCCTTTGAGTTCTTCCTTTTTTAAAAACTCTTAATGGCCCTTCCTTGCAAAAGCATCAAGAGAGAAAATAAAGAAAGCAAGAGAGAAATAGAGAAAGGAACGAAGAAAAGCAAGAAAAGAGAGAAATGAAAACGGAAAGGAGAATAAAAGAACAAAGAGAGAAGCAAAAATAGAAAGAAAAAAAGAAAGTAGAGAAGGCTTGCATTTAAACAGGACCTTTCATTATCTCAGGTCATTCCAGAATGTTTTATTACCAATTAAGCACTTTTTGAAGAGGAGCCATTTCTCCAATATAGGAAAACGGACAGACAATTTTCCAACAGCAAACTCCCGCATGCACCATTGTGAATAGCTAGATAACTATTTTATGTTGGTTGAAGGACACTTGGCTAGAATACCCGGGAAAATTTACCAGCTCTTCTTCAGATTTTGTATGGGATCATTTATGCCCACCTGAAAGAACAGGCAGCAGGCAAGCCTCCTATTAATACCACATGCACTCATTATTATTACTGGAATGTCAGCTGAGATTCTGTATTCAACTCTCTAGAATGGCACAAAAGTAAAAATGGAACTAAAAGTTGTATGGCTCAGAATGAAACAGTGAAATATTGTGTAATAGGAAGTAGATTGCTGTCTTGACCAACTTTGTGACTCCCAGCATGGAAAGAAAAGATTTTTCCTGATAGGTACAAGATCAAAATGAAAGAGTTGGCTTGTCTTATAAAATTTGCCCAAGCTGGGCCTCGGCAGTAGGGTAGGTATGTAAGAACTTGCAGTGATTAAAATGTTTATTTTGCCATTCTTAGAAATTTGGAGTGAGAAGCTAATTTAAACTTATCAAATTGTGCATCAGGCCTTCATCATTGGAATCAGCAAAAATATAATGAGGTTGAATTAATTTGATACTGTACACTGAATGCTAAGAGCAGATCTTACTGATATATTTGGGAGTCTAACAAGTTGAATAGTTTAAAACTTAATGCAAAAGATTTTTGATGGACAATTGGGTGAAAACAGAGGAGGTGGACATGTAATATCACATTAATGGTAGCAAGCTGATTTGGCAACACCATCCTGCCTTCAAGTAACAGTCAGACAGTTAGCCGAAGTAATTAGGGGGCTATCAAGTCTCCTTTCCTGTGTCAGCAGATGGACTCTAAATGGTGGCTGAAAGAAATATTTAAAAAAGCAGACTGCTGCCGGAAGGGTCATGTTTAATCTCTCCTGCATTTAACATGGCCATGAAGCTTTGGCTGCAGTACTGGCCATCAGGTGAAGAAATTATCCTTCTTTGATCAGACCAGGCAGCTGTGGTCTTTTTTTACATAATCATTTTTGACTTGATATTAGAGGATGCCTCCATTGTTAAGTGTCTTCTTTCTCTGCACTTCTCTCTATTTGACAGTGGACAGGAAGAATGCCTTCTGGACATTAATTTTGCAATCCTACCAAAATTAATTTCAGGTTGCTGCTTCTGACAAGGTGGAAGGTTGAGAATCACATTTGACATTGCCAATAGAACCCTGACCCAAAACATAAAATACTGCCACACATGTTCTGATGTAATCAGTAATTCCACAACAAAAAGGCATGAACATAAGCTGTGGAAAAGAAGTTCTATGGGTGATAATAATACCCACAATCAAGCAATTGCTCTTTTTGCACAAGCTGTTTTCATCACTTAGCGCATTTTCCTATGGCTTCCAGCTGTCTCACCTTCTAGAGTTCTAGAATTACAGGGTTGGTAGGTCATACTGAAATCACAAATTATTACAGCATAAAAGGAGGCCATTTAGTCCAACATGTCTGCACTGGCTCTTCAAATGAACATTTCATTGAGTACCATTCTCCTACCTTCTCCCCATAGCTTTTCACATTACATTTAAATATAAACAAATTTAAATTCTTTCGCAATGTTCCGACTGAACCTGCCTCCTCCAAACTGTCAACCTTCATTGTAATGTTATATTTAAAATTGAATGCAAACAAAGCGTACATAAAATCATAATTGTAAATATAATTCTCAGTTTTAGCTTTATTTACAATAATTTTAATCGACATTCATTGTAATATGGACTCTCAGAATTCCTGTTGAATTCCTGGCTGATGATAATGCTGGAATCTCAATCATTTATCAATTAATTTTACTCAAACATCGACCTCTAAAAACTGATTGCAAATGTTACAATGATTACATGCCAAACAGCAAATTTGTCCTTTAAAGTTAAAAATATAACCAAAGCAGTAGCAGTTCAGTTTCGTGTGGAATAAGGTAACTCAGTTAAGAAGCAACTGCTTGTTGATGCATATCTGTCTTAGCTGCTCAAACCGCATTTGAATACTTGATCCCAGACGGTTATTATTGGACTCTAGCCAAAGGTTCAGCTGCTCTTCTCGTTGTTCCCTGAAAAAATTCAGATTATTACTAGTTAGCACAGTGAGAGGCAATATGGTAGATAGATATTTGCAAGTGTTTCCTGATCTCCTACAATACTTTTGGTGGAAAATCAGTGGAAAACCTGAATAAATATAGAATTTTTTCTGAAGAAGGGTCCAGACCCAAAACGTCAGCTTTCCTGCTCCTCTGATGCTGCCTGGCCTGCTGTGTTCATCCAGCACCACACCTTGTTATCTCTGAATAAATTGTACCTTTGGCATTTCTTCTGATCTTCAGCTGAAGTTGCTGTGGAAGATCAGAAGTTCAGAGAAACCTCTACCTGCAGGTGGCATGACTGGCTGCTTTGTGTGTGGAGCCCCATGTGTGAGGCAACTGGAGGGTCAGATTGCTTGCACCCAAGGATCATGTCACTAGGCTGATGTCATGCACAAATAACCAAAAACTCATCAACAAATGTGCAGGGAATGTCTTCAATATTCACTTCTGAAATACCAAGCACTCGGAAGCAAAGTGACTATTTAAAGGGCCACTCAACAACTTGTAGCTGAGATGTTAAGTTGGTAACTCTGGCAAGGTTGGTTGAAGCACAGAGGAGCATTGCTGAAAGAGCTTGAAGGGTGACCACAGAAAGGCTGCAAGTTACATTGCCTTAAAACGGTAATGCCATATCTTCTACAACATAGTCAGACAGAGGTTTCAGCAGAGGGGGATACTTCCACTTCCTTTTTGGTTAACTGCGAGGTACATTGGATTTTTTGGAGGGTCTTTTGCTGCAAAGAGATTTCTCACTCTATCTTATCAAACTCATCTCATTAACTATCTATCTCCACCTTACAGTGTCTCTCTCGAGTGATTCTGACCGCTAAAGACAGGCACTTCTGGCTCCTGTGCCATATTTAAAAGGCTGTTGTGCACCAGGGATTCTGAAGCTGGCCTGCTTGGTGACAGACATAATTTGGCAATGTCAGAAATGGCAAAGATGGTGCAGTGATTCTCAATAGTGACCTGGAGACCCTTGGTGGACATGATGGTGCAAGGTTTTAGGGTGGGGGGAATTCTCTTCCCAGAGGACCAGCAAGAGAGGTCCCAGGCCAAGGAAGACTGTTCTGAGGTTGTCACAGGGTCAATTGTTCTTGACAGTATGGGGGAATGGCCAGCAGTGCCGTAAGAATTTCAATGATCTCTCTGCTCTGTCGGTCCAAGTACCACTCTTATCTCTGTTAATTTACACATTCTACTGAGGTTGGTTGGCTCGCCGAGCTGGTTTGTTGTTCCGCAGACGTTTCGTTACCGTGCTTGGTAACATCCTCAGTGCAGCCTCTGATGAAGCGTCGGTGTGTTTTCCCGCCTGGTTTTTAAACTCTGGGGTCCGTTGCGATGGATTGCCTCACTTCCGGGTTTCCTCCGTAGTGGAATGTATATGGGGTCGAGTTCAATGTGTTTATTAATAGCCTGCTTCGTGGAGTGCCATGCTTCCAGGAATTCTCGTGCTTGTCTCTGCCTAGCCTGTCCCAGGATCTTGGTGTTGTCTCAGTTGAAGTCGTCGTTCTCCTTGTCCATGTGGATTGAGATGAGTGAGTATTGATCGTGTCTTTTTGTAGCCAGTTAGTGTTCATGTACTCTTGTTGTTAGTTTCCTTCCTGTTTGTCCGAGGTAGTGTTTCTCGACATCTCTGCAGGGGATCTTGTAGATGACATTGGTCCTGTCCATGGCGGGGAGTGGGTCTTTAGTTCGGGTGAGCACTTGTTGTAGAGCACCCGCGAACAACTCTACTTCCTACATGAATGCCTCAGGAACCAGGTACCGGAAGTGAGGCAATCTATCACAATGGACCCCAGAGTTTAAAAACCAGGCGGGAAAACACACTGACGCTTCATCAGAGGCTGCACTGAGGATGTTACCAAGCACTGTAACGAAATGTCTGCGGAACAACAAACCAGCTTGGCGAGCCAACCAACCTCAACACCCACAACCCGAGCTACAGATCTACTCCAAAATCTTAGAGACCTACGGGCGCAACACGCTCAAACTGGCAAGGAAATGGGAAAACTACGCCAAACGAGAGAGCGCAACCCGCAAACAACTCTACTTCCTACATGGATGCCTCGGGAACCAGGTATTACCACGCAGCATGAAGTATAAACCACCATCAACAACCCACAAGCCCGGAAAACAGCAGAACAAAACGGCCGCAAGATGGTAAGGGTAATGATAAATGGTGCACACAACCAGCTCCACAAATACAACAGAGGAATTACACGCCAAAAAACGTTATTCCAGGAAGCTACCAATCAAGACTGGACAACCGACATGGAACGAGCCATTAACATCAGCCGAAAGACCACAAGAGCCAAGAGAAGACAGACCCTGCCAGACAAGCTAACCACACTTACTCACAAAAAGGACAACAACAAAACTGACACATGGATAAGGAACCTCTCTGACAGGAAACTGACAGACACGGAAAATGCCGTTCTCACCCGGGGACTGAACTACAACTACAGGGATGCCAACAAAACGGAGTGGCTAGCCACACTGGAAGCCACACTGAGGACCAACAACATCAACGAAGAAATACAACAAACTATAAGACAGACAGTAGTCCCGACACTAACCAGAAAGAGGGAACTCAGCACCCTCAACACACGGGAAAGACAAGCCCTGGACAGATTAAAGAAGGACAAGAACATCACAATATGACCGGCAGACAAAGGGCACATGACCGTGATAATGAATAAAAAGGACTACATCTCCAAAGCACAAGCACTGCTCGTTGACGAGAACACATACTGGCCAATACAAACTGACCTGACACTGCAACTAGGCAACAAAATCCTATACACGCTACAAAGACTTAACCAAACAGGACAGATCAACAAAACAGATTTCTTAAGAATGAAACCCGAAGGAACCAACACACCCCGATTCTATGGCCTCCCTAAAGTGCACAAGCTGGAAGACCCCATCAGACCCATAGTCTCCCTACCAGGCACTCCATCGCACAGATTAGCCAGAGAACTACAAAGAAGACTCAAGCACCTAGACAACAAATCACTCCACTCCATCCACTCAGCCCAAGAATTCCTCAACTCCATCAAAGACATAAAGATAGAGGACGAAGAGACCATGATATCGTTTGATGGCACCGCCCTATTAGCGTCATACCACTAGACATACCACTAGCAAGGGAAACAATGACAATACTACTTGAACAAGAACACGACCCCAGTGAAACCATATCAAAGGACAACATGCTTAAACTACTGGACCTATGCCTGACCACACACTTCACCTTCAATGGCCAAACATACGAGCAAATCAACGGGACAATCATGGGATCGCTTATCTTCGGACTCATAACAGAAGCAGTGTTGCAAAGACTGGAAAGGACTGCCCTTCTGCAAATCCAACCTAACCTATGGATACGCTACGTAGACGACACCTTTATCATCATTAAACGGACCAAATTAGAAGAGACACACAAACTCATAAACAACACCCTCACTGGAACAAAATTCACCAGAGAGGAGGAGAAGAACAAAACTCCCATTCCTGGACGTCATGGTAGAGCGCAAGACAAATGGGGAACTGCAAACGAAAGTACACCGAAAAGCCACACACACAGACCAAGTATTGAACTTCAATAGTAACCATCCCAGCACACACAAACGAAGCAGCGTGCGAACACTATTTAAATGGGCAACAACACACTGCAGCAACATGGAACTACGCCAAGAGGAGGAGGAATACCTCTTCCAAGTGTTCAAGGATAATGGATATCCAAAGAACTGGGTCAGGAGATGCCTACAGGAACAGCATCAGAAAGATTCTACACGCCCTGACACACTCATCACACTACCCTACATCAGGAACACGTCAGGACTCACCACAAGAACTCTACGACTGCTGGGCATCAGAGTGGCACACAAACCCACATCAACCCTACGACAAGTGCTCACCCGAACTAAAGACCCACTCCCCGCCATGGACAGGACCAATGTCATCTACAAGATCCCCTGCAGAGACTGCGAGAAACACTACATCGGACAAACAGGAAGGAAACTAACAACAAGAGTACATGAACACCAACTGGCTACAAAAAGACACGACCAATACTCACTCATCTCAATCCACATGGACAAGGAGAATGACGACTTCGACTGGGACAACACCAAGATCCTGGGACAGGCTAGGCAGAGACAAGCATGAGAATTCCTGGAAGCATGGCACTCCACGAAGCAGGCTATTAATAAACACATTGAATTCGACCCCATATACATTCCACTACGGAGGAAACCCGGAAGTGAGGCAATCCATCGCAACGGACCCCAGAGTTTAAAAACCAGGCGGGAAAACACACCGACGCTTCATCAGAGGCTGCACTGAGGATGTTACCAAGCACGGTAATGAAACGTCTGCGGAACAACAAACCAGCTCGGCGAGTCAACCAACCTCAACACCCACAACCCGAGCTACAGATCTACTCCAAAACCTTACACATTCTACCTCTGAAACTGCACCCACTTCCCACCAAGGCTCATGGTCTGCCATTACTGCCTGCAACATCGTCCCATCTCAAACTCTCACAATACATGGACTTTGTGCAGCCTACTCATGCTCTCTGAACACTTTTTGACCATGCACCCAGTTTTAGCTCACTTAGTCACTCCCTTTCTCCCATTCCAGGTGAAGATAGGGCAGATAGGGTGGAGGGTTGCTAGATATTAGACTTCTCACCTCCTACGCGGAAAGAATTTTCTTTCTCACAGAAGACCAGGACTGCTCCTGCAGAAATGCTACAATATCCACGTCCTGCTAATGCAGTAAGTTCTTTCACAGTAGTCTGAATTTTAAGTGTCATTCATTGTACACCACTTCTAACCACTGACTGTGGCGTTTTCTCTTTCTGCCTCTCTGATCCTTGGAAGTTCAAGCCAAGAATAGTCCACTTGCTTCTGGTAAATACCCTGGGGTCTCTGAAGCAAACCTCTAGGGTCAGCTTCACTGCTGAGTGGGTTCCCTTCATCCCAGAAGTGGAATGTAAGATGAGAGTAAAAAGGAAAGAAAGGAAACATTGAGGGCACTTTGGTGGCACAGGTGACTGCACATTGTACATGAAACATCATGTCTGTATAAATTTGATTGTTTATGTGGAACATCTATTTGTTGACTGTGTGTAGCCTTGAATGTAAATTTGCCAGCATGATGCCTAACTTTATGTTCATACAAGATGTACAAGATGGATGGTGACAGCCTGCTGCTCCATGTGGAAACAAGATAGACAAAAGGACAATGGGTTCTGCTGTCACCATTGCCCCTCATGATAAAACATCTCTATTCTTTCCCTGGCTTCTGTTCCAAAAGTGTTGGTGTGAATGAATTTCTCAGCAATGTGTAGGGAAGAAACAATACAGTACACAGGGAGCAATACATTTTACGCACCAGGCATTAGGGACCTGGAAGATCTAAGTCCTGTACTATGCATGGGTCTGTTTGTAACGTTGTTTCCCTTAAAGGGCCTCAAATCAATGTGTTTTGAAGCCCCCTCCCTTACAGTTTGAGATTTTTACCCCACCTATCTAAAATCTCATTTACCTACCTCTTTGATATCTCTCTTTCTTGCTGTCTCTTTCTCTCTGGGCTCCATCTCCTTATATCCGCTTACTACTCCCATTTCCTGCCACGACTTTCCCCACACCACTGCCGTAATGCCCTCATCGCAACCTTGGTTTTAGCACAAACACCACCTTTTCTTAGTTACAAACAGTTCTGATGAAGAGTCACTGGACTTGAAATATTAACTCTGCTTTCTTTCCACAGATGCTGCCAGATTCTAAGTTTTTCCGTCAATTTCTGTTTTTGTTTCAGAAGCTAAACCCGAATCTTCAGGAAACCAGCTTCTCCAAATTAATTGAGTAACCATAACAATAGTTGTATTTTGTGTCTAAGTAATTAACTTGCATTTGGACAAAATATTTGAGCCTGCATTTACTTAATTAAGCGAGCATTTTGTTTGAGCAACTACACCTTGGATTGCTCAATTTGAAAGTTTTTTTCATGACTCGGCTAATTATGTGCAGAGAGATCCTGGCTCGCATTGAGCCTGAAGATGTGAACTCAATGTTAATGATAACAGATGAATGAAAAGAAATCACAGGTCCAGTTCATCTTGTTGTATCCTCATAGACCTAAATCAAAGCTATTAATATGCAGGCTTTATTAATTTCCTTGTGATGTATTCAAAGGACAATTGTCCATCCCCAGGAATGAATGCCAGTTGGAGGGCTGGTAGCTCAGTAGTGGCACTGGGAGAGGCAGCCACTGCTGGGACTGTACCTGGTTGAAATGTATTCTAAGGAAGCATGCGGCCCTCTTAACCATATAATTGGGATTTGGGGACATTGGGACTAGTCAGATAGCCCCCACTTGGCGGGGTCGTTTGGGTGGTTTCTGAGGGTAGGAAGCACCATTGCTGGAGGGTACCCCATTCCATGAACCAAGCAAGGTCTACCTGCCAGGAAAGGCAGAAAGTGGTCCTTACTTGCAACTTAAGTGGTTCAATTAGCCCCTGATGGGAGTGCAATCATCCCCCTACCACTGCTGGCAAAGGGCATGCTAGTGGGAAGATGACAGGTTCTGTACCCTGTTCCTCCTCTCATCATTTTACAGGAACTCCCAGAACTCCATCTCCATCTGTCATCCCCTCCCTAGTGGGATGTGGTAAATCCAGCTCGTTATGTCCTCCATTAGAATATTCAATGCAGCATCATGCTTCAGGAGTTTAATGCCTGTTTTAAGGGAATACCAGTCTTTGGAAGTCAGCAGTTGCCAAATTAGTGTCTTGGGCATTTCCTGAGGAAGTCACGGCACTCATTCCTGAAGCTTGGATCCATAGCTCATTTTTTTGTTGTCCATAAATTAGAGGGGGTCGAGATCTGTCATACAACTGTACTAATGGGATTGAGAAATTGTAACTGATTGTTTTGTGGCAAAATTTAAGTTGAAAATGTTTGTGCATTTGATTCAAATGCAAAAACATGGATTGCTGGTCTTGACCGAAACGTTTCTCACAATGGTCTGCACAATATTTTAAATATTCAATAAAGGGTAATTCAAAATATGCAAATCATGCAGTATCCCAAGTTTGTTCATTGCCTTGGAAACCTCTGAGTCATTAGGCAATGAGGGGTAAGCCAACAGTATTTTGTCATGTTTTTTGACTACCATTAACAGAGAACAAATTGGGAGGGAATTAGATTGTTTGATTTAATTTTGAACGGTGTATTGTTTAACTAACTGTTCTTTATATTATTATTCAGGCTCTTAATAATTACGTAAATTGCCCAAACTGTTTTTAGTTCTGTGCTTGGTGACTTACATTTCAACAGTGCGCTAAATAAATCATGACTTTTATTAATAATCTTTGAATTTGTGTGTTCTTTGAATTTCATTTCATTCCCTGATATTCCTTCTTTTCTTACGATAAAATTGTGAGCCAAAGAGCCCTGAAATAATTTTAAATTATTTTAAACTGATAATTAAAACAATATAATGATCTTTTTCATAACTTAGAATATCCTGGCTATGGGTGACTGTGCTGTATATATCATGTCTTACAGGTGAAACAAGTTGTGATATAAGGACTCAACTTCCATTGTTGTACTGGTTAAAAATTTGCAGGAAAACATACAAGCAACAGCTGTGTGCAGCTCTTAGATATTTCAGACAAAGGACAATTAGTTACCAACTGTTTTTCCAATATTTACCTTGTAATGATCTCATCAGCAAAAGATGTTTGCGAAAGATTAGCATTTAATGGCTCGCTGAAAGAAAATAAAACACATTTGCAATTAATATTATTTCTAAAACTTCTTAAAGAAAGTGAATTCTCAGAAAGACAACCCTAGCTTAGCTGAATCACTGCAGTCTAGGCAACATCCTGGTGAATCTCTTCTGCACCCTCTCTAGTGCAATTACATCTTTCCTATAGTGTGGCAACCAGAAATGCACACAGTACTCCAGCTGTGGCCTAACTGATGTTATTTGCAGCTTCATTATAGTCTCCTTCATCTTGTATTCAACTCTTGACTAATAAAGTTAAATATTATATATGCCTTCTTAACCATCTTGTTTACCTATCCTGCTGCCTTCATATTTCTACAGACATGCACACCAAGGTCCCTCCCTACTTCCTACCCTTCAACATGTACTCCCTTGTTTTGTCAGTCCTACCAAAATGTATCATCTCTCACTTTTCACGATTAGATTCTATCACCACTGTTTAGACAATCTGACCAGCACGGCTGTATCATCCTGTAGTGAGGAGGAAAGCCTCAGACTATGTACCACAGGACCTATTTTTGTGTTATTTATAAATTTATTGATCGTACCTCCAACATTCATGTCTAGATCATTACCGTACACTGCAAACAGCAAACAACCCAGCACTGAACCCTGTGGTGCACCACTGGACACAGGGCTTCCAGTTTTGTAAACACCTTACAAATATCACCCTCTGCTTCCTGTCACTGCGTTAATTTTGGATCCTCTTTGCCAAACTGCCCTGGTTCTCATAGGCACTTCCCTTCTTAATCAGTCTGCCATGTGAGACCTTTTCAAAGATCTTACTGGAGTCCAGGTCGACTACATTGACTACATTAACCTCATTTACACACCTAATCACCTCCTTGAAAAATCAATTCAAATTTGTTAGACATAATCTCCCTCTTACAAATCTATGCTGACTATTCTTGATTAATCCTCACCTCTCCAAGTAGTGATTACTTTTGTCCCTCAGAAATTTTTCCAATAGTTTTCATACCACAAATGTTAGTCACACAGGTCTCTACATTTATGACTTTTCCTGAGCAGCATTCTCAAATGATGATACTGCATTAGTCCTCTTATCCTCTGGCACCCCTCCTGTGGGCAAAGATGATTTGAAAATTAATTTCAGAGCCCCTGCAATCTCCTCCCATGTCTCCCACAGCATAGAATCCCTCCAGTATCAGCCCAAACAAGTCCACACCGGCCCTCTGAAGATCCTACCCAGACCCATCCCCCTACCTTTTCCCTGTATTTCCCGTGGCTAACACATCCAATCTACAGATCCCTGAACACTATAGGCAAATTTGCATGGCCAATCCACCTAGCCTGCACATCTTTGGACTGTGGGAGGAAACCAAAACACCCAGAGGAAACCCATGCAGACACAGGGAGAATGTGCAAACTCCTTACAGACAGTCACCCAAGGGTGGAATCGAACCCGGATTCCTGGCGCTGTGAGGCAGCAGTCCTAACCTCTGAGACAACGTGCCACTACAGACACATTTGGCCCTGGGGAGCTATCCGCTTTAAAGCGTGCTAAAACCACAAATACCTTTTCCTTCTCAATGCTAGTTTGTTCAAGTTTACCACAGTTCCCGTACCTGATTTCTAGGCCTACAGCATTCTTTTCTACCATGGATATGGAAGCAAAGTACTCATTTAAAACACAACTATGTCCACACACAGATTGCCACTTTGGTCAAAAGTGGGCTGTACTCTTTTCTTAGTTATTCTCTTGTCCCTAATATACTTATAAAAGGAGAAATTGCAGGAGAAACTCAGCAGATTTGGCAGCATTTGTGGAGAGAAAACGGAGTTAATGTTTTGAATCTAGTAATTATTTTATGAGTTTCTCTAGAGATTTCTGCTTTTCAGATTTTTGACTTTGCAAATTTCTGTTTTATATTTATGAAAGGTCTTTAGATTTTCATTTATGTGACCTGCCTTAGATTTTTTCATCCCGCCTTCACTTTCCTATATTTTTATTATTCAATACCGTGCACTTCCTGTACTCCTCTGCGTATCTGTTGCTTTGAGCCTTTGCTTTCTATCATAAACTTCCATGATTTTTTCATACAATCCTGTATATCGCTTGACATCTTATGGGAACATGTTGACCCTGTGCCTCTTCCAGTCCAAAAACCCCGTCTTATTAAAATCGGCCTTCCCCCAATTCAGAACCTTTATTTCCAGCTGATCTTTGTCCTTATACATAATTACTTTAAACCTTACTGAATTATGGTCACCATTGCAAAATGCTCCTCCATGGTCACATCTACCATTTGCCTGGTTTCATTCTCTAATATTGGGTCCAGCACCTCCCTCACTCCTCTCGGACTTTCTACGTGCTAGTTTAAAAACTGGACAAATGCTGATCGCATAAGAATTCATCCCCTTCTAAGTGCTTTGTCCAACTCAATTAATACTGGACAAGTTGAAATCCCCTATTATTATGCTATCACTTTTACACTTATCTAACATTTGCCTACATATCCATCTTTCTATCTGTCCATGAATATTTGGGGTCTATATACAGTACACTCTGAGCAAAGTGTTTCCCCGCTTTGTGTTTTTAAGTTCTACTCATAAGAACTCATTTGTGGAACCTTTTAAAATATCATCTCTCCTTATTGCAATAATTGACTTCCCGATTAATGTAAATAGAACATAGAACATAGAACAGTACAGCACAGCAGGGACCCTTTGGCCCAAGATGTTGTGTGACCTATTATCCGACTAAGATCAATCTACCCTGCATACCCTACATTTTACTATCCTCCATGTGCCTATCCAAGGGTCGCTTAAAAGTCTCTAAATTATCTGACTCCACTATCACTGCCAGCAGCTCATTCCACACGCCCCCCACTCTCTGTGTGAAGAACCTACCTCTGACATTTCCCCTATACCTTCCTCCAATCACCTTAAAATTATGCCCCCTCGTAATAGTTATTTCTGCCCTGGGAAAAAGTCTCTGACTATCCACTCTATCTATGCCTCTCATCATCTTGTACACTTCTATCAAGTCACCTCTCATCCTACTTCGCTCCAAAGGAAAAAAGCCCTAGCTCCCTCAACCTTTCCTCATAAGACCTACCTTCCAGTCCAGGCAGCATCCTGGTAAATCTCCTCTGCACCCTCTCTAAAGCTTCCACATCTTTCCTATAATGAGGTGACCAGAACTGAACACAATATTCCAAGTGTGGTCTAACCAAAGTCTTCCAGAGCTGCAGCACAACCTCACAGCTCTTAAACTCAATTCCCCTGCCAATGAAAGCCAACACACCATACGCCTTCTTTACAACCCTGTCAGACTGGGTAGCAACTTTGAGGGATCTATGGACGTGGACCCCAAGATCCCTCTGTTCCTCCACACTGCCGAGAATCCTACCATTAACCCTGTATTCTGCATTCAAATTCGACCTTCCAAAGTGAATCACCACACTTTTCTGGGTTGAATTCCATTTGCCTCTTCTTTGCTCAGCCCTGCATCCTGTCAATGTCCCGTTGCAACCTACAACAGCCCTCCACACTATCCACAACTCTACCAACCTTCGTGTCATCAGCAAACTTACTAACCCACCCTTCTACTTCCTTATCCAAGTCATTTATAAAGATCACAAAGAGCAGAGGTCCCAGAACAGATCCCTGCGGAACACCTCTGGTCACCAAGCTCCAGGCTGAAAACTTTCCATCTACTACCACCCTCTGTCTTCTATTAGACAGCCAGTTTTGTATCCAGACAGCCATATTTCCCTGAATCCCATGCCTCCTTACTTTCTGAATGAGCCTACCATGTGGAACCTTATCAAATGCTTTGCTAAAACCCATATACTCCACATCCAGTGCTCTACCTTCATCGATGTGTTTTATCACATCCTCAAAGAATTCAATAAGGCTTGTGAGGCATGACCTGCCCCTCACAAAGCCATGCTGACTATTTCTAATCAAACTGTGCTTTTCCAAATAATCATAAATACTATCTCTCAGAATCCTCTCCAATAATTTGCCCACCACAGAAGTAAGACTGACCGGTCTGTAATTTCCAGGATTATCCCTATTCCCTTTCTTGAACAAGGGAATGACATTTGTCACCCTCCAATCTTCTGGTACTACTCCAGTGGACAATGAGGACCTGAAGATCATTGCCAAAGGGGCAGCAATCTCTTCCCTCACTTCCCATGGTAACCTTGGGTATATCCCATCTGGTCCAGGGGACTTGTCTATCCTCATGTTTTTCAAAATTTCTAGCACATCCTCCTTCCTAACATCAACCTGTTCGAGCATATCTGCTTGTTTCATGCTGTCCTCACAGACGTCAAGTTCCCTCTCACTGGTGAATACTGAAGCAAAGTATTCATTAAAGACCTCACCTACCTCTTCTGACTCCGCACACAAGTTCCCTTCACTATCCCTAATTGTCCCTACCCTCACTCTGGCCATTCACTTGTTCCTCACGTAAGCATAGAATGCCTTGGGGTCGAATACCCGCCAAGGTTTTCTCATACCTCCTTCTTGCTCTCCTAAGTCCATTCTTCAGTTCCTTCCTGGCTACCTTGTAGACCTCTAGAGCCTTGTCCGATCCTTTCTTCCTCAACCTTAACCTTAAGGTTACTACCTCCACTTTTACAGTCCCCACCTCACTTAAAGATTCAATACCCTGAGAAACTGAGCTGCCAGTTCTGTCCCTCCCTCAACCATGTTTCCATGATATTAACAATATTGCATCTCTACCCATTAATCAGCATCCTCAACTCATCCACCTCCTTGCAAGACTCCTTACATTAAATTAAGTGCCATCCAGCCTTGCCATGCTCCCTTGTGCCTTGACTACATTTGCACTGTTTTCTAGACTGACTTGGTCTTCTTCACTTGTCTGTGTACCACCTACTTTATGTCCACTCCCTATCCATCCCCTTGCCAAATGAGTTTAAATCCTATCAGATGCAATGTGTTGAACTTATACAGATCCTAGCTTCCCCAAAAATGATCCCAGTGGTCTGGGAATCTAAAGTCTTCCCTTCTACTCCAACTCTTCAGCCACCAGTAATCTTTGCTGCTTAGCAATTCAAATAATGAGGTTCTATACTCACTAGTAAAATTCTCTAATGTCACTTGTACATAGAAGCTTTCTAATACTGATAGGTAATGCTTATTCCATACAAGTGTCAGGCATAATAATGATCATCTTAAACAAGAGAAAATTTAATCTACTTCCCTTGACATTCGATCACCATCACTGATTTCCTCTCTACCAATAAATCTGGGAGTTCCATTGACCAGAAACCAAACTGAACCAGCCATATAAATACTGTGGCTGTAAGATCAGGTCAGAGGCTGAGAATTCTGCAGCAAGTAACACCTCCAAATCCTCTCCACCATATTCAAGCCATGTGTCAGGAGTGTGGTGAAATACTCTCCATTTGCCTGGATTGGAAAAACTCTAACAGCATTCAAGAAGCTCAAACAATCCAGAAAAAAAGAGAGAAAGAACTGTGGATGCTGTAAATCAGGAACAAAAACAGAAGTTGCTGGAAAACTTCAGCAGGCCTGGCAGCATCTGTGAAGGAAAAATCAGAGTTAACGTTTCGGGTCCGGTGACCCTTCCTCAGAAGTGAGGAAGGCTCACTGTTCTCTACTTGTGACATGCCAACAAGATTCCACCATAGATAGTATAAATGTGGGTGGAGGGCTGTCAGATCGCAGTTTGGGTTGTACTCTGTAATTTCAGATGGAGCATGTGGATTGATGTGTAAAAACCACTTTATAGTGGCAGTGCTTTACTAATTGGAGGACAATGAAGGGTGTCAAACACTTAGTGCAGGGGGATTCGGAGCTGAGAGAGGAATGCTTGCTCATGCACCCATTGGGATGACAATTCTGTCTGTCCATAGGAGAAAACTGCTCATAACAGGTGGGAACTTTCCAAGACAGCAGGAGGAGGAGTCTTGGACATTGGAATGCACACTAGCTGATGAGGAGGCATCAGGACTTGTTGATAATGATAGAAACAGAGCTACGTAGATGGAGAGAGCAGAATTTCACAGCCATTAGCGAGGATATCTCCAGTCTGGTGTGCAGATGTACAGTGAAACACTGTGGAGAAAAGGTTTTGTGCATAACTATTGGCTAATTCTTTTTATCCTTCACTAACAAGTTATTGCAACAAATCAGAAACTAAAATGTCTGTCCAGCCCTATCACAAGACCACCTTTGGGAAGGATGACTTAGAACTAATAGCACTGTCATGGTATTAGCCTGCAATCTGAACCAGCACAGCGGCATTCACTTTGGTGAGTACACATCCTGATTGGGTCAGAGGCACACTCCCGTGAGCACATTACAGACTTGTGCCCACAGTTGACAGAGGATGTAATATCTGAGGTCTCTGACACTTAGGAGACTGCTGGAGACCAAGCTGAATCTCATGCAAAATACCAGCCAGAATTCAGCCATAACCGATTGTTGGAGAGACAAGCAAAAGAACATCTGCCACAAACTAAAGGCAAAATACTGTGGATTTCTGAAGAAGTCATAACAGACTATGTTAACGCTGTCTCTCGCTCCCTCTCTCTCCACAGATGCTGCCAGACCTGCTGTGTTATTCTAGCATTCTCTATCTGGCAGAGAATGTTAGAGTCCATTTTAAGGCAAGGTAGAGGAGTAGTGTACAAGTCCTGACTGTTGTCAAGGCTCTGACATGTAAAGACTTGGCTGCCTCCATTGAAAGGCAGTGATAACCTTGGAGAGCAATTTCTGAAGAAGGGTCCAAACTCGAAACATCAGCTTTCTTGCTCCTCTGATGCTGCTTGGCCTGCTGTGTTCATCCAGCTCTACACCTTGCTATCTCAGACTCCAGCAAAGGCAGTTCCTACTATCTCTGACCAACAGAGTGTGCAGTGTTTGCTGTATATCCACTCGGACTTCCACTCCATTGTAATTCTTTTCCATTTAGCACAAAGTTTTGCAGGGTGCAGCAGGCCACAATAATTCTGGTCTAAGCAGCAGAATCTCATCTTAAGCAATCCAATAGTCTGCTCCATTATTGTCCTTATTGAGGCAAGAACACCACTGTTCCTCTCCTCTGCTGCGCTTTATGGGTCAGAACTGATGTTACTAACCAAATCTTCTGTGGGTACTCCCTGTCACCAAGAAGTCACATGACACCCCAGTGTCTGAGTGATAGAAAGGATGAGACCTCCTTCCAGATGGGTCTTCTCAAGGACTTGGGGTGTGCTATCATGCACAAATTGGGACACTTCCTCCTGTGGGCTCCAAGGGTGCTAGTCCCCTCTGCCAGTGACCTCATTTCCTCAGGCACCTGTGCAGAAAATCCTCAGCTGCCAGAGCCCTTGGGCCATCAGTGGACAGATGCCAAGGACATCTCCCACAGCAGGGCATGGTAGTTCATCTCAACTATGGATGTCAGAGCTACAAAAGAAAAATTAGGAAGCGAGTGAGCGAATGAACTCCTGATGTCTGCATGACAAAAGTCTTTGCAAAGTATCATTCCCATTTGGAGAATGTCTCAGAGAAATGAGTAACTCCTTTTTAAAATGACGTGTGCATGCAGATTCTAATGTAAAATACATATTGAGTTATATGCCTGCATCACTTTCTTTCCAGGTGCCAGATGTCACTGAGGTGTGCAGTGTTATTGTGCAAAGTAGGAGTTCACAATATAGGATGTGAGCAATGTAAGATTCTCACACAGTCAGAAGATTGGCTGCCTGGCTGACTGGTAGAAAAAAGACAGTGGCATAAATGGGTCTTTTTCAAATTGTCAGGATGCGACAAGCGATGGTCCTCAATGTTTTCAATTTACATCAACGGCTTAGGTGAGGCGAACGAAGGCATGGAGATCAAATTTTCAGTTGTTGCAAAGAAAGGTCTGAAAATGTTATCAGCCAGGTCTTTTGTGGGTTATTGCTGTCAATCAAGAGCCAACACTGAAGTTGATGAGAGGAAGAGAACTCTTTTGACATCGAATAATTAGTGAGGATGTACAAATCATGAGAACTCACTGGGTAGTGCACATACATGTGAGCAATTTATTTCCAGTGCTCATAAACCAGTTGTACACTCAGAAAGTAAAAGCCCTTTAAGTTTATGAGTGTTGCTGGCTGATCCCAGGGAGCTCTCAGCATCGTGTGTCTGTAATCAATTGTCCAATCACCTGTAGAAGTCTTCCGATGGCAATAAATCGCACAACACTGACTGTCTGGCTCTCAGTCTGTTGTTAATTGAACAATTTATTTCAGTCATGCATTGGCCACCTCCATGAAGCATTTGCAAGCGGGAGACTGCAATATTCCACTCATGTCCCTACTGGAGTCCTGCAAAGAATCACTGGCGTAAAAGTTCAGTGCTGAAGTGCCTTCCACTGCCAATCAGCATTGGATTGCCTCCCAGTCTACACTGACATAGGTCTTCTTGGAAGAGCTAGTATACATGAGTGATAGCTGCCCATGACGTCCACAGTCACCTCTAAAATTGTTTCTCTGATCTTTACAGTTAGCTGCAATGCCTGTAGTATTTTTGATTGTTTGCCAATATTTTACATCACACTTTTGTCGACAGAATCTTGCTGATGGGAAGGTCAACTTTTCCTCAAACCTCTGAGGGCTGAATGCTTTAATTTCATTCCATTGTCTGGATGATGATTTTTGGCCTCCCACACAACTAAGTTACCCTGGCCTGCTTCCTGGTTCCATGAGAAGCAGAAGATTTCGTCCCTTGTTTCCAAAAGTAATCATCTTTACAAGAGATTGAGAGTAAACTATAGCCCAGTTAGTCTAACATCAGTGAAGAAAATAAACCAGAATGTGTTAGGAACAGTGTCGTACAGAGCACTTGGAAAGCTATCAAAACCGAAAGAACTGCAGATGCTGTAAATCAAAGTTGCTGGAAAAGCTCAGCAGGTCTGGCAGCATCTGTGAAGGAAAAAAGAGTTAACGTTTCGGGACCGGTGACCCTTCCTCAGAACTGTAAGTTATAATATGGTTAGGCAGAGTCAACAATGTTTTACGAAAGGAAATCACATTTGACTAATTTGAGTGGTGTGGTTCTTTTCTGAAGAAGGGTCCTGACCCAAAACGTCAGCTTCCCTGTTCCTCTGATGCTGCCTGGTCTGCCGTGTAATTAGGGGCCTGAGGGATGTAGCATTTAACATTGTCTATGAAATTAGAGTCAAACAAGAGGTGATAGGCCACTTATTTGCATATTCAAGAGGCCTAATGCCATTTTTAGGACTTTGCCTGAAAAACAGATGCAATTTTATCCCTACACATTCTATTAACTGTCTCCTCACTTCTGCTATCATGAAGAATCCCACTTTCTCTAATATACCTCTCACTGAAGCATCCTCCCTGGCAACACAACATTTCTCTTTTCTCTCATCGCTCTCTCTGGATTGTATACAGTCTGTTCAGGCCACCGTGGAGGAAGAACAAGTCTCATTTTAAAGATGCAGCGATATTATGAACAACTTTGAAAATTATTGCACACAATGACAGTAGTAATTAATTCTTGCAAAGTCCTATTCAGTTTATTTCCAGCCTCCTTGCTATCCCAGCATAAATTTTCCAGAAGATATGGAGGGTAACTTCGACAAGGCTAGTATACTAACAATATTGGAACAGCTGTTCACCAGACGTGATGCTTGGTTTTCATTTCCATTAATGTCATGAATAATAGGAAATCCATCCAATTCCACTATTTGTCTTTCCCTACCTAAATCAAGTGATACCATGAACATTTCTTCCAAAGTTAAAGATGTGAACATTTCATCATGTGAACAGTTGTCAGTCAACATATAGCATAAAGTACTTACCCATCGTCTTTTGCTGTTTCATCCTTTGAACAATCTGGTAACGGTAATGGACTTTCAATCATTGTGAATTCGGCTTCCAGCATTTCTGGTGTTAGGCCAACCTCTTCAGAACTATGAGGCAATCCACAATGTCATTGCAAATACCAAATGTTTGAACACAGCAAAGATCTAATTTTATATGGTTTCTATTTTTATTTCTATACTTTGTAGTTTAGCTATGCTATTAATATCAGGCCACAGGTTAGGACTTTCATCTGAAAGTTATTTAACCAATTCCATGATATTCTATGAGTTTAACTGCTTTTGATATCCTGCTTTTCAGTACTATGCAAAATTTTTTCAATGCAAACAACGAAATGCACAGGTTAATTATATCACATAAATTAGAATTTAAATCTTCTGTTTATGTGACATATGAATTGTTGGGTTTTTTTTATTTAAGAAAATGGAGCTGAAATGTCATTGAAACAAAATGCTGTAGTTCATAACGGCATTTTTTCAGTTACTGAGTGTTGTCAATTCTGGCTGGACCTATTCCAAGATATGTCATCATGTGACCTCTTACATTTACATGCTCTTCCCCCAGGCTCCCGCCTTTGGTTGTCTAACATATCCACCGCCTCCGAGGCAGTGTGTTCCAAGGCTGCACAACCCTCTGTGAGAAAAATGTTCTCTTCAACTCTGCTCTAAAAGGGCAACTTCTAATTTGAAAACAGTGCATTTTAGTTCTGGACTGAACCACAAGAGAAGACAATTCAGGATCTTATACACTTCAAACAAGCCACTTCTCACTCTTCTAAACTCCAATGAAAACAAGCTCATGTATTGACTTCCTAGAGTTTAGCATTTTATTAATAAAAGTTGAAAGACTAAAAGTTGAAAGACATCCCTGCCAGTTTTTTCCCATTTTAATTGTTTGAGATTTCAACCCATTTCCTTCATAATACTCTACTTCACTTCTGCAATTGCCCAATTTCAAAAGATTACAAACATTCAAAACACAACTTTGACACTATTTACTTGTCATCACAATATTCATCAAGGTTGTTAACAATTCCATCTAGCCTATCTAAAACCACATTTTCATGCATGTCTAATCTTTGTGCTAGATAACTTACATGCTCCAGGTTTTAATCTAGTTTTTAATTCAGTACATCTCTGAGATACAGCTGAAGTGAGATTGTACTGAGCAGTAGGTGGTGGAGAATGTTTGTGATTTATGGGCTTATGCTGACTCTTGTTTCAATGCTATCCCAGAAGGACTGACTTTGAGTAAGCTTTAGCTTGCTCTAATCAGGCTTGAGAGTCCACACTTTTCTATTGAACCAGTGCTGCAAAGAGCTCTAAAGAGGCTGGCTCATGGTTCGTAGAAATAGCAATATTAATGACACTCCTTATAATGTACTCATGCACCGTAAGCTAGTGTTCCATTTTGATTTGGCATTCTTGAGTTTTTGTCCTGATGAGCAGAAGATAAAATGTTAGACACTATGTCTCTTTTCTCAGCAGTTCTCAAGTTCTCTAATACCAAGCAACTATGTGATGCTAATTATGATTATAATCAAATATAAATTTTCTCATGATCCTCTTGAGATATATGCATGTTTTTGCTAAACCAAAGTCTAACTAGAAATCTTTCATGGCAAGTAATGTGATGGTCTCTTCAGTAATCATTCAAAAGTGCATCATTTTAATATACTCATCTTCAGCTGATTTGATTAGCTCCATGTCCATCATCTTGCATAGATGAAAGGATGCTGACTAAAGTAATGCATTCGTAAGATACCTTTCCATGGTTATGTTTTCTCTGTCGTCATCTGGCAGACTATCCAATTGTGTCGGAGCATTAACAGGAAGCATATCAGATGGAAATATATCAAACCTAGACATATAAAAATGTTTAATAAACGTAAATGTTAAATGCGAGCAATACATAATTTTTCCCATTAATTTCTAAAACAGTATTAGCTTTGTCTCAGAAGAATACTGAACACTAGTACTTGAGTTGGATGATATAATTCTTTTCTATCTCTCTGACATATGTTGAAGATGAATACTTTTGAACAGAGGTTTAATTCAGTTAACTACACTCCATAAATCTCACACCACTGATTACCATCTCTCACACACAAATAGCCCTTAATGGAATGTATCCATCACCTCTTACCAGAACTTCTTACTTGAAATTGTGAAGTCAGAGACTTGGGGGTTGATGACATATTGACAAATGTAATTCCATACACAAATGGATAATATTGGTAATTAGAGAAAACCTTAGATTGAGATGTTGTATTTGGGTCTGAAAGTGTTAATACTAAGGAATGCCTTTGGCACCATGATAATGTCATGTAGACATTTGTGCAGAACAGCTTAGGATCACAATGGAATGAGACCTAACTGTGGGTCCTCTTCAAAGTCTCTGCAACAATGTCTATCATATCAATGCAACTTGTAACGGGTTGATAACATACAGTAAACTATACCTTGTTAACTGAAAGAAACCCTTCTTGTTAGATTAAGAAATGGTTTTCCTCTACCATGCAATGCAGCTTGCTATACTTAAAGCGGATGGTGGCAGAAACCTTTATCATGAGCAGAAGCTCATACACCCCATGAGTTGGCAGGTATACACAACAAACCAATTGTTCCAACTTTGCCAGGCTCAGGTTAAAAGCTCAGTGCAGAATGGAGAGCAGAATTTCTTATTCAAATTATAATGCAAAATGAATGCAAATATAAATATTCCTGTATTTATTTACAACACTGTTCTAAACACTGGAGTGATCTCTCAATCTGAACTGTATGGAGTCAAGTTTTCTTTTAAAAAACTCCGAATTCCAAAGCAGGCAACTTAAAGTAACATTTGATAAAATTGATACAAAACCTTGTATTCCGAAGAAAGGAATGTTTAGACTCTTTTTAATATTTTACAATCCATTCTAAAGTACACCATTCTATACTACATGCATGGGAAAGATATTGGTATTTGAATGTTGATAATGATAGATACAATAATCTATATTTATACAGGTATAGGTCGGATGTCCAAAATCTGGCATTCATGTAACCAAGACTGAGCCAGATTTTAGATTTTCCTGGAACCTGAATAATTAAGTCAGGGAGCCTATCCTTAGTAAAATTCAATAATTAAGAAAATGATATGTGTATAACAAAGGCAAGAACAATGCATGAGCCACAGGTGGCTAGGAGGTTAAATCATATCAGCCACAATCTTATTGCATGGCACAGTTGGCACGAAGGGCTAAGTGGCCTACTCTTGCTCCTTGTTCGTATGTTTGTAAGGAATGGATTGTGTCAGACAGTTTGGGCTGGGCTGGATTCGGTTGACATTACAGGGTTACATTGAACTCGTTCAATGTGACATTTCAAAATGTCCGGTTTACGTACGATTCCAGTTTTCAGACAGTTAGATTTTAGACATCCTACTTGCATCCTAAGTATAAAAATAAATCCCAGTACTATTTCAGCAGTTGTACATTAAAGTACAAACTTTTCTGAGACATTGAAGGTTGAACTGACCTTTAGTACAGGCATTCCCGTGTTAGGAGGTTAGAGACTGAGGCAGGCAAAATTTTGTGATGACTATCCTCTCTTTATGCTTTGTGGTTAGACTATTACTCACATATGGCTTGTCCATAAATGTTGGTATATAGCACACACAGATGGTAGGGTGTGTAATTCTTGCAATTTCAGAAGCTAGTGATTAAATGGAAATTGAACTGACAGAAACATGATGCATTCATGTATAGGAACACTGCTTCCCATGACATGTAGCTGAAACAATGGTGTTCCTGCTGTATAAATTGTACTAACGTGTTGGAAGTTACTCTCCAGCAAGAGCACAGTATAGGTAGAAGTGACTATTGCACAATCATTGTGAAGACAAAGTCCTGTCTTCAGACTGAGGGTACCCTTCAATTTGTTCAGCAGCACTACCACCATGTTAAATGCCAGGTTTAGAATTTAACCAGCAGTTCAAATCTGGGCATCACTGTGGACCATCATGGAAAGTAAATACATGCAATAACATGTTTCCATTGCCATGGACATGTGGTGACAAACGTAATGGGTTTATTCAGAGTTATGGAGATTTTTTAGTTAAAGTGGGGTATTTATCAAAAAGCAAAACAAAAGCAAAAAAAAAGCAAAAATGTTCCTACTAACAAATTATCAGAACATGAATTGCAAAAGAAGTGGTTCATTCAGATTCACTCCTTGAATTACTGTTGAAAATCTGAGACTTCATCACACAACATATCAATCACCCTTAACTTTACTATCAAGCCAAGGGATCGATCCTGGCTCAATGAAGAGTACAGGAAACTATGCCAGGTGCAGTGCCACACAAATCTAAAAATGAAGTGCTAACCAGGTGACGTTATAATACAGGACTGCTTGCATGACAAACAGTGGATACTTCATGCTATAGGGCTAAGCCATCTCAAAACAAACTGATCAGATCAAATTCTACGATCTTGCCACGTCCAATCATGAATGGTGGTGGAAAATTAAACAATTAAATAGAGGAGGTGGCTCTACTAATATTCTCAACAATGAGGGAGCTCAGTACATCAGCACAATAAAGAAGACTGAAGCCTTTGGAACTATAGTCAGACAGAAATCCAAATGGATGATCCATCACAGCCTCCTATTTCATTTTTGCAGTGTATACAATTATTGCCTTTACACAAGCTCTTTCAATATTCCGAAGTTGAGTGGAATGCTTCTTGCATGAGGTCATTGCAGCAGTATAACAGCATTCAACTCTTGTTGTTTTATTTCAAGGCCCTCCTCGGACTCTTCTGCTCATAAGTAGTTCTTTACTGAGATCCACAATCATAAATACAGAAATTAATCTCGGCCTTCAAATACAAAATTATCCTTGTTGTTTCTTTTTTGCCCAAAAATGCAATAGCAGGGACATTTGAGCTACTTTCTGAATAACAACCATTGACATTAATATTGATTGCAAACTCCTGCCACTGGATTTTGCCATGTGATGTGTGCCAGCTGGAGGGGGAAAAGGCAAATGGGACTTGATTCCAGGATTTTGGGAATGGGATGAGGAAGTGCGATGGTTGGGTGGGGGTGGGGTGGCTGACTAGGTGGGAGTGGGGGTGATGGCAGGGAGCAGGGGCGATGGGGTCAAGGTTGTGAACTTTGAGGGATAGGGTCTATCCATCCAGAGTGGGCTGATGTCATTGTGAACAAGGTGCGCGCTCTAACCTTCTTGCCTCCACATTTGTCAGCCTGTGTTCCTACATCAGGTCTGCTTTGGGAGGTGGTGGCATTGATTCTAGCTAACCCACCATGAAAACAGCATGGTGGACTTTACTGGGTGGGTGGGCAGAATTGTGGAAATAGCCAGACCAATGATTCTTACCTCAAATAGCAAGTCCAGCCACTGACGTTTATATATGTTATAGATGATTTCAACCACTCAATACTAACAATTTCTACTTATACATTATTTTAAAAGAAATGGAACATCCCAAGTCATTTCACAGGGGCATGATAAAACCTTGTGTGACACAGAGAGATATTAGTCAAAAAACCAAAAGCTTTATCAATGAAGTAAGTTTAAAGCTACTAGTTAAAGGAAGAAAGTGAAGTTGAGAAGTGGCATGGCATGAGAAGAGAATTTCAAGGCTGGAATAGATGCAACTGAAGGCATTGGTGGAGCAGTTATAATTTGAACTGCAAAAAATGCCAGAATTCAAAGAGTGCAAGTACCTCAGAGGCTTGTGTTCTGGAGGAAATTGCACAAATAAGGAAGGGCAAAGCCATGGAATTTGCAAAGAAAAAAATGAAATTTACAGTGGGATCCAATGTAAAACAATGAGTATAGAAGTTATATTTGAATGGATTTGGCTATGAGTAATACCACAGGAGACCTGAGGATGATCTCCAATTTATGGAGGGTAGAATGTAGCAAACTGGCCATTGGAATTGTGTAGATGTAACAAAGGCATGACTGAGTGCTTCAGGAGCAAATGAGCTGAGATGGGCAAAGTCTGGTGATATTACAGAGGTGGAAGTAGGTCGTCTTAGTGATGGCACAAATATAATCGAGGGGAGGCGATGGCCTGGTAGTATTATCACTGGACTGCTAATCCAGACACTCAGCTAATGTACTGGGGACATGGCAGATGGTGGAATTTGACTTTAATAAAAATCTGGAATTAAGAGTCTAATGATGACCATGAATCCATTGTTGATTGTCATAAGAAAATCTAGTTCACTAATGTTCTTTAGGGAAGGAAAATGCCATCCTTACCTGGTCTGAACTACATGTGACTCCAGGCTCATAGCAATTTGGATGACTCTTAACTGACCTCAGATGGCCAATAAATGACATCATCTCACTAAAAAAAAGCTCTTCAAATGAACTCCTCATCGATGGAGATGGCAAGAACTATAGATGCCAGAGTCAGAGATAACAAAATGTGGAGCTGGAGGAACACAGCAGGCCAGGCAGTGACAGAGAAGCAGGAAAGCTGAAGTTTCAGGCCGTACACTTTGTTATCTCCTCATCGATGGAACTGTTTAACTGCTGGTGGTGCAGTGAAGTAGGACAAGTGACCTTTAATCACTAAGGATGATGACCCTGTGTCAAATGGCAGGGAGAGGTTTTTAAATAAATTGAGCGATGCTGCCAGTGTTAGCACAAAGACAATAGAAGCACCTTTTCTAATTCCTTGGAGAATAATTGGAGTGATGTGCTGTTGCTCCAATGGGCACCAATTACCCTTATTGAGTAGACCAGGTATATTTTAGTGATCTTGATGGTCACTGGCAGCACCATCTTCACCCTGCTCTGAGGCTGCTGGTCAGTTGGATCATTACAGCCTCACAATGTGCTCTTAGCTGAGTTGACAGCAAGAGAAGCACACTCTAAATAAACCCCTAACTAATCTAAATACTACATCAATATGATATTCAGTGAGATCGCTCATTTTCATCTCTCTGTACACAGTGAAACCTCTCTACCTCTTTCATTCATTGTCATTGTCATAGAATCACAGAATCCCAACAGTGCAGATGGAGGCCATTCAGCCCTCGAGTCTGCACTAACCCTCTGAAGAGCAATCCACCCAGATCCACAATTCCCCTCATTCCTGTAACCCGCATTTACCATGGCTAATCCATCTGGCTTGCGTATCCCTGGGCTGTGGGAGGAAACCTGAGCCAGCAAAAACCACGCAGACACAAACTCCACGTAGCCAGTCGCCAAAGGTTAGAATCAAACCCAGGTCCCTGGCACTGTGAAGCAACAGTACTGACCACTGTGCCACCAAATTGTGCAGCTCAAAGGACAGCAGCATAGGCTCCACAAATGAAATCCAGGCTTTCTTCTTAGAGGCCATTAAATTCTAATGAACGCTTTCCAAGGATTAAACCTGATTGTAACAACTTGTGACAGCTTCTTCATCAATGAAGTGCATAGCATTTCCATTCACTAACTGTGCAGCAGCATAAGAAATCAAAACAGCCTCAACCAAAAGTACCATGAAGGTGTCTTTAAAATCAGCTGCAAATGTTCAGACATGTGTGTTTAAGTGGAAAGATTAACTGAACTTGTGAGGTCTGAAATATCAACTTGCACACCACATCAGTTTTAGATGCTGACATTATGATTTCTCCACTTTGCCTCCTTCTGCAGTATGAATGACTGCCAATGCCATCAACCACCCAAGAATGATGATTAACACAGGTTGCATAATTCTTAGTCCCACTGATGACCAATTTTAAAATGCAAACACAAACTACTGGAGAAACTCAGCAAGTCTAGCAGCATCTGTGGAGAGGGTAAGTCTAGTATGACCCTTCAACAAATTTACCATGCTTCAGGCAGATATGTAATAACAGTCACTCTCAGCTCTCTACCAAAGTTTTCCTATTCTATATCAAGCCAGATTGAAACTTTCAGTAGCCTTTGATGACTGTTCCACACAACACGGGTTTTCCTGGTGATTTTCCTCAGCAAGGCACACCTCAATGATGAAAACCGAAAGAACTGCGGACGCTGTAAATCAGGAACAAAAACAAAAGTTGCTGGAAAATCTCAGCAGTTCTGGCGACATCTGTGAAGAAAAAAATCACAGTTAACGTTTTGGGTCTGGTGACCCTTCCTCGGAACTGGGGAAGTGTCACTTGACAACAACTCCTCTGCAAACCACCTTCTGGAAGCAGTGTCTGCATTGATGTAAATCTTCCCCACGTCAGCCAATCAGTATCACCACTCTGCTGCCCTCTTCAAGATTTCTGTCTGTTCTATCTGTTCAGTTCATTAACACAAAACAGTTCACCCTGTTTTCCATAGCAACAATTTATTTGATTTTGCAGGTGTACTTTTTCTGTGAGATACTGTGAAACGTGTTAAAACTGTCACTTAACATCTGAAGGAGGTTCGGCTTGAATTCCCCTTGACTTGGCAACTGCATCATGTCGGCATTTCCGTGTACAATAAATATATAATGAGGATATTTTTAAACATAACAGTCATATAAAATTCAGTATGCTTGACAAAGTGTACATCCCTTTTGAAGACTGATATTATATCCCTCATTCAGTTTATACATTCTAGCTCTCATCAACTCGCTGCCTAAATATATTTCTTCTCACCTATTTTTACCAATTTTCTTCAATTTACGCCCTTTAAAAGTCCCCCCTCCCAGACCCAGCACCAATGGAAATAGTCGGTTCTGAGGAGAATAATCTTGACTCCTCTAGCTTTCTACATCACTGAATTCCCACATGACAGACTACTGCAAACGGAAGGTCAAAAGAGTGCCATCTTGGCTCTGGGCTCTAACTTTAGCACACCTAGGATTAGAATGCTGTAGCCATTGTAGATTGCACAAACTATAGCCTGGCCTTTAAGATCCAGAGTTACTCAAAGTCATCTAGTTTCCCAGTATCCAGTCTGAAGTGTAATTAAAAGAACTTCTGCAGTTCTCCTAGCTGCAGTGACTGGGAAACCTGTTCACAGGAACTTTTGCCTGTGAAATGCAGTATGGAAGGCAGGTAATAAGATCTGTCACAAAGATATTGTTCATTGTTTTTCTAAACTATCTGATAGAAATGCAAGTAATTTAATAATTTTGATAACTGGTAATTTTGCCTGATAATGCTCTTCTGAAATACATTATAGCAAACAGTAACTACAACATTAATGGGGCTAAATAAATGAAAAGTGTTATCGTTATGGGTAAGTGAGGAGAAAAATGCCTTAGGCTTGCACTGAAAGAAGGCAATTAGATGGTGCTATTAAGGGCAGTAGGAAGAATTCTGAGACTGTTGGTGTATTGGAGTTAGAATGGACTCAGACAGGGATGGTTACTGTTTCTCTTCTTCTTGCTCTTTATTTTATTTGTTGTTGCCCAGGTGTTGGTAAGGGTTGTTCCCTGCCCCCCAACACAACATCCTGCTGAAATGGTGAAGCCTGCTGCAGATTGGAATGAATCTGTATATCGTCTTAAGGGGTGCTGAAAAGTTGCTCCAAAATACCTGTTCCTGTGGATTAATTCTCAGCTTTTCAAATACCATGAATGGCTATTCTGTGACAGTCTCCACTCTACTTTATCCAGAGGCAAATATAATGATTAAACCAATTGTAGTTTATTTATTTTTTCTGTTATGAGGTATCTGAATATTGTCACTTTCATGTGACATGCTGTTCCCTCTTTGTACAGTAAGACTTTGCATTTAATCAGTTAATCTTATTTAAGGTGCCTTTGAGCCAATTAATTACTTTTTAAAGTAAATTCACTGATTTTTATGTGACAGTCAAGTTGTAAAGCCCCACAAATAGAGGAATTATTAGTTAGTGTAAAAACAGAAAATGATGCTAGGAATGTCCAACATTTTCCATTTTTATTTCAGATTTCCGGCATCTGTAGCACTTTCCTTTTAATTGTCAAGTTTTGTTAGTTGTGGAAAGGAAGTTAAAGAGGACAACTGGTGTCATAGAATCTTTTATGTCCATTTGAGCAGGAAAATTCACTTGGCTTAAAAAATTTAAATTTTTTTTTATATAACCTAATTAGATATTTACATGTTCAAAAAGAAATCTATTTAAAGCATAAGGTGTAGAGCTGGATGAACACAGCAGGCCAAGCAGCATCAGAGGGGCAGGAAAGCTGACATTTCGGGCCTAGACCCTTCTTCAGAAATGG